TCGATAAGAATTATCGATAGTTATTAAATATTTGATAGTAATCGCTATTTATCTATATTCAAAATTTCCTGATGATAGCCCTGTCAGACATAACAATATGTATATTATTTAATCCTGAAATGCATCCAGTTTTTTTGCAATTTAGAGCAAAATAAGATACCAGTTGGGTTTATTAATAGGTCTATTATCATAACGATATTGGATTTAAAAGTTTCTGATTAGTCTCTAATTTCAAGCAGATATTTGGCAAAATAGGAGACCAATAGAAAATAATTAAGATTAAAATTGATTTACCAGTAGGCCTTTAATTTAATTCAATAACAATCTTAATTTATACTGATAAGTATCTGGTTTTCTAGCAATTTCAAGTAAAATAAGATACCTATTAAGTTAATCAATAGATCTACTAAAAAATTGATAATAAACTTGTTTTGTTTTTAAATATCTTTAAATAGACTATGATTTCAAACAGATATTTGGCAAAAATAAGATACTAATCAGAAAAATTTAGAATCAAATTAAGTTTAGTATTGAAAAACTGGTAGATCTATACAATATTTCAATAGATACCTTAATTACTCCCAATGACTATCCAGTTTTTTAGCAATTTTGAGTAAAATAAAATACTTATTGTATTAATTAATTTGTTTACTAGCTGTTTGATTTAGAACCTAAATTTTTCTAATTGGTATTTTATTTCTGCCAAATATCTGTTTGAAATTGTAATCTATTCAGAAATATTTAGAATTTATCTGTCAGTAAACTTCTATATACATTCAGATTGATATAGAATACCTATCAGTTACCCAATATAGTTTTATTCAACCTGTTTTGTTGTTAATATAATTGAAAAGCTTAAGTCAAGAAAAGTAATCCTAGCCAATGTTTTTAAGAAATTAATCTACATGTATTTAGAAATATCTAAATTTAACATCTCTATTGTTGGCTTAAAAGCTTATATACTTGCTATTATTAGCAATAAAGCAAGAGAATTCAATGATGATATTTACTTTATTGCCTTGTTTCTTTTCTCTATTCATAAAAAAATAGCTATTTTTAGATATATGAATGAGAAATATATTAAACATAGATGTATATAATTAGCCAAAGCCTAGAAGTTTACAAAAATAATGCTAGTCTTTTTTACAAGAAATTATTATATAAATAATAAATCACTCTTTGATTTTTTTTTTAAAAGCTCTCAAAAGCCTTTCTAGATATTTTGAAAAGATTTTGCTAATAAATTCTCTATCTTTGCTTTAAAAGTTTCTATGATTGTTTTTCATAGTGCCACATGTAAAAAACTTTTTCTTCTCTAAGTCTTGCAAAGACAAAGTTAAACAGCAAACTTTTTTCTAACATACTTTCCAAACTTGAACAAATTAAGAATAAGCTTCAAAAAGCTATTCTAAAAAAAAAAAGATTAGACAAAAGAAGTTATCACTACCTGAACCCCTAAAGAAAACAATAGTGATATGAATGAGAATGATGATAAAACATAAAAGCCAAATAAAATTGACAAGAATATTGATTTTGTTGATGCTAAATATGAAGAAACATCAATAATAGATAAATTTTTTGATTTTGCTATATTTAAAAGAGATCAAGGGGCATTTTCACTTGAAGAGACCCATGATTATTCTGCACTGCAAAGCTTGAATAATGAAGGTTGGTCTATTGAAGATATTATCTCTTAGTCAAATAGTATGTATTAAAAAATCCAAGTACTTATTAAAGTATGCATTTCTTAAAAATTAATCTACATTTCAGTAGAGAATTGAACTTGATTGAAAAATCTTGCATCTTTTGAAATATAAAATGTTCAAATCTCTTCATACACATTTGCAAAGCAGTAAATTTATAAAAACTATATATAGATAGGCAAAAAAAAAACATTCAAATATCACATTGTACTGATTCTTAAATAAAGTATAACCCACTTTTTAGATCGGCTCTTTGAAATCTGCTTATAATAATCAAAAAAATTTACATACTCGTATATATAACGTTATTGTAGCACAAATGGAAATTGGGAAATGTATTTTTTATTCAATCACTTACCATATCGTTTATCAAACTTGCAACATAGGATTTGATTGGTTAATTGTTATGTGATCGCACATGAACTAGATAGGGGCATGCCCTATAGGCATACTGGGCATGTCACGATCCAAGGCATGCCCATAAAGGCATTTACCCGTGCATCGAATCTTAATTCGAATGAATAGATATTTGCTGATCCGTAAGCTCTATATCCCAAAATAGTACTCTAACACTAATTAAGGGGTTTATTCCAGGTGCATTTAATATATCGATACTGTATAAATTATACAGCATACTTGATACTTATTTAAAACACTAACCATTGCTACATCAAAAAAGTAACCCATGTTTCGCGTAAAATTTCGCGACATGATCTCGTGTGCGACATGAAAAGATCTATAAAAGTCTCAGTTTTCACTCTAATTATCAAATTTTGTACTCTATAAAGCTATGGAGTACTTTACGACCAAAAAAACGTCTAAATGGTCGCTTATTGGTTACTTAAAATGGAGAGACGAAAATCAATTACCTTCAGAAAAATCAAAAGAACATAGTGCGTTTAAGGCGTTTCTTAAAAAATTATCGAATGATGAAAATGGAAAAAAAGCAAAAAAGGCGAAGGATTTACTTAATAATTGGAAAGTATGTTGTTTTTATGTCTAGGCCCTATGAAAAGCCAAGATTCCTGCTTGTTATCTTTTCTCATCATATGATAAGTCACTCCATGATTTATCAATGGCGAATGCATCATTTGGGTGTATTGCTACATGAATCGCTGAGTTTTGCAAACAACTGATCGCTTAGTTGGTTGGGAATTTTGGTAGACCGCTGAGTTATTGCTGTAACACATTGGGAGAACACTGAGTCAGCCCAGTGTTGAGTCACTGGCTCGTTACAGCTTGTCATTTAAGCCTAATATTTATTATTGCAGTATTGTAAATACAGTCAACTATCTGTAAATCGTCCAAGCTGAAAAAATTTTTCTGTTATATGGCTTTTTTATTGATCCATCCATTAGCAGTAGTTGACTGTAGACATAATTTGTTCTATATATATTTTATTAACAATTGCTTTTTCGTGTTCTTAAAATTGATATACTTTTCTAGCAAATTAAGAATTCTGCAGAAATTAAAAATTTCTGGATTAATAAAGATATCCAGCGGACAAAAATGCAAAATGAGCTAAAAACTTTACAGATTGAAACTGAAGATGTAAGTTTTTTGACCATTATAGTATTCTACACTGTATAGTACAAGCTAGTGACTGGACTCGTATCAATTCGTTACTC